TATATATATATATATATATATATATATATATATATATATATATATATATATATATATATATAGCATATAGAGATGTGCGAACTATTCGAATCGAATCAAGTGAAATTCAAATTCGAATCCTATGATTCGAATCCAAATAATTCGAAAATTTCGAATCGAAAAGATTCGAATACGAATACGCACACATTAACGAAGAACTATTAAAGATATCCAGCCTTATGGCAATTAGCATGACTTGAAAAGTTTGCTATACATTAAGATTTTTTTCAAAAATATTAAAAGAAAATAATGATAAGATTCTAGATAAACTCTTACCGACAATTGTCGGATCGATATGTGTCGTTGCGCAGCTTTCAAGGCTGGAACTGTATTCCATATATGTTTATCGACTATATATTATATATCTCTTATCTTAAAATGAATTGATATCACATAATCAATGTTATCTCTTTCATATTGAAGTCACTATTTTCATGTTGAATTCAATGATTATGTTAATTATAAATTCTTTTAACGATTCGATTCGATTTTATTCGATTCGATATTAAAAATCTTTGATTCGCATATCTCTAATAGCATATCAATTCAAAACACACATTCACGTACACATTCACCCAAATACAATTCAATTGCTCACTTATCGGTACAGTAAATATATAAATATGTCTTAATTCGTATTTAACAGTAACAACGAGAAAAAGATAGCGTAAATATTATTTGTCTTCAACACGGTATCACGACGCAAACGGTTGTTGCCAGAAAAGGATTCAGAATATGAAACGCAATCGCTAGTTAAAAATGAATTAACATGAAAGTTTGTTCAGGAGCAATACACTCGCATTAAATTTTACTTTCATGCAATAATTGTCCAGAGATTATCGTTTTAACATTTAGGCTATTTTTGTTACTACTCTATAGAATTGTATAAATTCTTATAAAAGTGGAAAAAGAGAAAATATTATAGCTTTACTGAAATATCTAGAAGAGAAATCTAAACAGATATTTTTATTAATTAATATATTGTTTTTTTCTCAAGGAAATAGGTAAGTAGAAAAACAGATGCGAATGCTGAATGCAAAGTACAAGTTCACAGAGATAGGAAGCACCTCTCATGCAAAGCGCAATGTATGAAACAAGAACAGTACTCACGTTTGGTGTTGTTTCGCGCAGCCACTCGTCAGCTTGTTCGTCAAAATCAAATTTACAAGCTAGTCTGAGATCATTCGCCGCTTCCTCAAACTTTCCAAGCAAATGATAAGCCCTTCCTCTAAATTTGTGAGCTGCTGCACTGTCTGGATTTAGCTCGATGGCGCGTTCGCAATCGCGGATGCAGGCATTTGGTTTGTTTAAGAGAAGGAAAATTTGGCCGCGTTTAGCATATAACAATGCTGCATGCGGATTCAATACAATTGCCTCTGTATAAAGTTGTTTGGCTTTCTCATAATCTTTTTCCATAAATGCGGACACTGCTTCGGATCTTTTCGACTGTGATTCCGCAATTTCCTCTTCTGTAGGTTGTAAAGTCAAATTACCCATTTTTTCAGGAGGATCTTGATCTGGTTCTAAAACAAAAAGAGGAAAAAGAATTATACAATTATCGTATAGATAAAAAAGTGGATATAATATAATAAAGATACAAATATACAAACCAATTACACCAGTCATATCTAGTTCCAGATCGCTCTCTTCGCTCTCAGAATCAGGTTCAACTGTAGATTGGGGTTCTTCATATTTATCCTCCGATTCATATTCACCAACTAATGGATCATCGCTTTTGTCACTTTCGGGTACTTTGCCACCATAATGCTCTATTAACTCTTTGATACAAGATAGTTTAGGATCATGTAGAAGAGATGGGTTATCCATACATTGTCGAGCAAGTGCTTTTAGCTGTTGTGCAATCTTCTTAGGAAATACAGGCACATCCATCTCGTTTTATCTACACAATCAAACTCCAATTTATTAAATATACTCTTTGCAAATTTAATATCACAAATTTCACATACACGCATATATGTGTAAATATATATGTAAATG